ATCAATTTATTCTGTCTACAAATTATTGACCTATGATTGTCCCAGTGCTCCCCCAAGTTCTAAAACTACTGTAAATCAGAAAAAAAGTAAAGTAACATTTCATGTCAATTTTTCAGCCCCTTGCAGAATGGGTGAGCCAGGAAGAATTGATGCACAGCTGGCACATGGCACAAGCCCCATATTTGTGTTCACAAACTAGTATTTGCATGTGTAAATCGGGTAACCTGTGAGTGCATTTTTTCCCTCAAGTGCGGGGTTTTGTCCATGCACATTTTACATGGTTCATGCACTCAACTGGTCTTTTGGAATGTAGCTTAATTAAACCCACAAAAACCATGAGATATTCACAGTGTGGGCTCTGTCTGCCCAAATTGACATCTTCAGCTGCTGGTCCCTGAAGAGTCTTCAGGCTTCCTAAGTTACACAGCTGCAGAGGTTGCTGCTTATCCAAAGGAGAAACTACCCCCTCAGTAACAATCTCTGCATTACATGGCTGCCCAAGCCTGGGCCTTCCCCAGAGGTGAAGTTACAGTCTCTGATCAGCTCAGTGGCTTTTGGGAATGGTGCTGCAGAATACTGAACAAGGTCAGCAACTGGAAGACATTTTAAAGGGTTGTGTTAAAGATATTATTCGGTATGAAATTCATCCAGGGAGAAGCTAAAGATTTCTCACCATTCACCCACATTGTGAATGGGAAATCAGAGAAACGATCATGTGGATGAAAAGAACAGCAAGAGAGGGGAGAAGCAAGAGGATTCTCTTCCCACAATAGGGATTTTCTTTTCTTTGGTCTGGTCTACACCTAAAATTTAGGTTGATCTAGATATGCTGCTCAGCAGTGTGAACAGTTCATGCTCCTGAGAGATGTAGTTAAGCCAACCTAAGCCTCAGTGTAGACAGCACTAGGTCGGTGGAAGAATTATTTCGTTGACCTAGCTACCGCCTCTCGGGGAGGTGGATTAACTACAGTGATGGAAGAACCCCTTCCATTGCTGTACCGAGTGTCTACACTACAGCTCAACAGTGGCACAATTGCAGTGCTGCATTTGTAGCGTTTCTATTGTAGACATATCCTTAAAGCATTGATCTGTCTCCCCAGCCAGTGACACTGTGCAGGAGGTTACTCTAGCCCTAGGAGTAGCTAGTAACTCCTATGGGCTTTGCAGCGCCAGCAGGTATGGTGGTGGTGGTGAAGAGAAACAGACAGTAGACAGAGCGTTACAATCTGATGGAGGAGGATTATTTCCATGAACATGCCACTTCCCTAGGGCAGGCTGACTGGTTTTCTGGATAGGAGGTAGGCTGGCTGTACAGCCAGCATCTGAAGCCCAGAAGTCAACTGATATCCAATGCTATACTGAGCCCCAATATTAAACATAACGCTATGCAGGAATTACAGGGAGGTCCAAACAGAGGGTAATCTTACATAATATTCCCCAATCTTGCAAATTCTTATATACATGTTTAGTTTTACTCACGTGAGTAGCCTCATTGAAGTCAATGGGCTATTCCTATAAGTAAAGTTAATTATCTCTATAAATATTTGTAGGATTGGGGCCTATATGTATTACAGTATACCACTGCACAGTACGATGAGTTATGCAGAGTTAGGCCTGGTCTACACTACGACTTTAATTCGGATTTAGCTGCGTTAATCCGAATTAACCCTTCACCCGTCCACACTACAGAGCCAGTTAATTCGAATTAAAGGCACTTAAAATCGATTTCTGTACTCCACCTCGACGAGCGGAGTAGAGCCTAACTCGATTTTGTTAATTCGAATTAGGGTTAGTGTGGCCGCACACCACCGAATTACTGTGTTTAAATTCATGGGGTAGTGTGGCCGCACACCACCGAATTAATGTGGTTAAAAACCGAATTAAGGTGCTTAGTGTGGCCGCGCACAATCGAATTTATACAACCTGTTTCCCAAATTCGAATTATCTAAATTCGGATTAATCCCGTAGTGTAGACATACCCTATGTGCCCTCTATAAGATGGAAAAAAAACAATTGATCACCTTTTATGGATATGTAAGGGCTTTGATAAAGAGAGGTAAAAGCTTTTCGAGGAATTAAAATATCTTAAGGTAAAAAAAATACATTATGTGATTTAGTAACAACATTAGTGAAATGGAGTATTATTAAAAAGATGCTGTTACATTACCTGAAAGACATAGGGCAGAGTGAGAGGATATAAACTGCTACATAGTGAGGAATTATAGTTGGTATCATAGACTACTCAATCAAGTCTACTTCAGCATAGAAAAGAAAGGTGTGGCAAAGGAGTCCCTGACTGGGAGAAGAGTCTGGGCCTAGAAGTCAGAGCAGAAGGTTGAACCCCAGCTAGGAAAGGCTGGAAGTGACAGATTCATGAAGAGCAGACTGGGACAGAAGAAGAGCTCTGGGTGTGGTAGAAGATGCCAGAGCTGAGTATGAACTTTTGTGTTGCAATGTTAGACTTTATTTTGGGAACCTGGGGATAATTTTGAACTGTTTCTGTTATTAAACCAGCCCCAGGCAAGGGTGATATTAGCCATGAGAAAGAGCGTGAAGTTTTTAAGGGGCTCTGAAGACAGAAAACAAGAGGCAGGATGCTGTAGCGCCACCTGTGGCCATGGATGGGGTGCTCAGAAGATGGCTGACCCTGCTTCAGACTTGACGTAATAGCTAAGGTTCCAATGCTGCAAACTTGCATGCACTTAATTCTATACATGTAAATAGCTCCAATGAAGTTACACATGTATGTATGAGTGTCTTTTTGCAGGGTGGGACCTAATACACTATTTAGGTTACTAATGAGTCTCCTGCGTGTAGACCTGATGGTTCTATGCCAGTGTTTTTCAAAGTTTGGGTCCTGACCCAGTACTGGGTCGTGGCATGTAAGGCACTGGGTCGCCTTGTTCAGCACCCAGGGACCAGGACGTTAAAAGTCCCATCAGCGGTACTGCCCAGCTAAGGCAGGCTAGTGCCTCTCTGTTCTGACTCAGCACTGCGCCCCGGAAGCGGCCAGCAGCAGGTCCGGTTTCTAGGCAGGGGGGCCACGGGGCTCTGTGCCCTGCCCCTGCCCCAAGCACTGGGCGGGGGGGGGGGGGGGGGAGGGTCGGTGCCTGCGGGTGAGAGCCGCGCGGAGCTGCTTGTGTACCTTCGCCTAGGAGCAGGACTTGCTGCTGGCTGGTTCCGGGGCGCAGCGCAGTTCGCGGTGCCAGGACAGGCCTGCCTCTGCACCTCAGCTGCACTGCTGACCAGGAGATGCTGGAGGTAAGTCTGTGCCCCAATCCCCTGCCCCC